GTGTGTGTGTGTGTGTGTGTGTGTGTGTGTGTGTGTGTGTGTGTGTGTGTGTGTGTGTGTGTGTGTGCAGGATTTGGTGTCCACTATCAAGCAGAAACTTTAGCAGCTAATCAAGAATTACATGGAGGGGATTTCTTCAGTGTGATGGACCAGGACACAAGTCACATCTCCTGCATCTATACAGAGGGATGATCTGGCTCACGTGTGGGTTCCTTTCCTTTTGAACTGCTCTGTGTTTAATGAGAAGAAGACATACGTGACACTGGAACCTGGAGGAAGCTTCTTTTACAAAAGAACATTGGATCATAAAACAGCTCCCCTAGTTAAGTCAAAATTGAGGAATTGACTCTTACACCCAACTGCGACTAAATTCCTGTAAATGTACCGTACTGTCTGACTCAACACCCAGGCTCCTATTCCCAGTAATCGATGTAAATTAATGTCTGTGCCTCGAAGATTTTTATGTTTAGAGTAATTTAGGTTATTTCCTCACTTGTGTGCAACAAGTAGTGAGCACTTTGAGTAGTTTATGTTGGCATTTTGCATAATATTGAACACTGCGATCAAAGTATGCAAGGAACCGTTTATTAAGGTTTTTTCTTAGAATCATGGCTGTGTAACTACGTAGCAAGAATGCCTTTGACTATAATCTTTGTGAGCTGTTGTTTGAATTTAGCAATCTGCATGAGTGAACAATGATTTTAAATGTGTTTAAATATTTTTTATTAAGCTTTTTCCTTACTACAGTTTGTGTCCACACAGCAAGAAAATTACATTGTGGAACCCACAACTGGTAAATGAGCCTGTGTGCCAGAATTTGTGAAAATGATGATCTTACTATTTGTGATAAACCATGTGGATCACTTCAGAAGATTCTTCTGAGTCTTGGGTGTGTATCAAACACTAGCACCACTGATTTTAAATGGACATCTAAAAACATGTTTTGGGGGGGGGTTGCTTTGGGTTGAGCTGGTAGTGGAAGGGTTTTTAAGCTTTATTACCATGCAAACAAGCAAGCACAAAAATATATTGTATTCGCAATTAACATAAAGGTACTTTTTAAATCTGCAGCAACCCATATGATTTCAAAATCAGCTAACATCTTGCATGCAAATCCACTGACGTGGTGTTTACTTGTTTTGTTGTTTGGAGGATTGCTTGTTTTAGGAACAGTGGAGAGTAATTAACATGAGTGCTTGGGTCAAATGTGTAAATGATTTGGATGAACAGGCTAATTTTCATCTGCAGTCTAAGGCAGGTTTATGGCATGTATATACGTTAAAAGAAAACTCAAAAACAAATGCATGTGAGCACAGATCAAACCTATAAGCATTTATATTATAGAACATGAAAGTGGCACACCAATGGAGAATTTAAAACATTGGTGGTTATGATAACTTACAAAAGCAATGGCACATAAATGCAATCATTACACTGGGAGCAGTTTGTGAAAGAGAAGGTAAATCAAACGTTCTCTTGCTAGGCAGCTCTCAAACACTGTGTGAGTCAGTTGATTCAAGTTTCTGACTGACATTTTTTTTTTTTTTGAAAACTTACCACACTGATCATTTACAAGGACACACGCTTGCTTTTACATATTGAATATCACAGTACTCATATAATACAAAATTAAAGGTACGAGTTGTTGAGTTTTTGTGGCTCACAAAACCATGTGAAAAAGTACGAATAGTGAATTTATAATACTGCTTTAAATAACAGCGATAAATCTTATTCAAAGGAAAACTCATGTAACGGTTCTTATGTGTTTGACTCTGTTAGATTATTAACTATACCTAGATTTATTTGCATTATGCAAAACAAGACAAAGTTAAAAGGAACAAGAGATCGACTCCTTTGTGATAACTATTGCAAGGAAATTATGAAGGCAATAAGCTAATGTAAATTACAAAAATAATTAACTGCCAACTGCTGTGCTTCAGTATAAAAAGTGTGCAAGGGTCCATTTGGCTACAGTCTTCACAGCAGTGCTTTCTTCTTGTTTGAAATTGAAAGAACAAACTGTTTTACTTGAAAATAATTTTTAGCAAGAGAGTCATGCTTCAGATGGGGGTTTCAGTAGTTGCTTAGCAACAACAACAACAGCTTTTCTAAAAAGCATCTGTTTAGTACTGTAAATCAAAAAAAAAAAAAAAAGCAGTGCAGTGTGCAGTGGACACAGGTGGTTGGTTTAGCTTTCTGCGCAGTAGGAAGCCTCTTAACAATGCTGTCTTTTGTTTGTTCACTTGTCCCAGTTTTAAAGTTGTGCAGGTATTACCAAAATGCTCCTCATAAAATTAAGGGAGCAATTAAATCAGAACACTTGAATCAAACATCTGATCTTAGTGAATAACATGTTTCAAGTTGAAAATCTTTACTAGCATATGCCCTGTGATTTGTTGTGCCCTGTGATAAAATAAAAAACAGCTTATGGCCTTTTAACTAAAACAACCAATTGTTTTGCAGCATGTCAGAAAGCTCATAACCAAAGACCACGAGGTAGCACAGTAACAATATGCATCACTACAACGTACCTGTTCACAAAGTGAGATGCAATTACTAAATTTAAAACTAGTTGGATAGTAAGAATTTTGCCAGAAATGCTAAATTGTGGTCAGTAAATAGTAAGGAGAACAGTGGAGAATGGCTGTCAAGTAGTGAGTAAAACACACAAAGCATCGACTGTGGACAATTATGAATACAAATCTGCACCCATTGCAGTTTATTAACAGGTTAATAAATTGAGTGATTCACTCAGTTTTAATTTTACACGAAATCCCCCATTATATCCCAGCACTTGAGTATCCTAACAAACACGTTTTATTATATTTTGTTTGTTTTGTTGTTGTTGTTGTTGTTGTTGTTTTGTCAGTATAAATGGTCGCAAAAGGATCATGGCCTGTTCTAAACATAAAACAGTGACAAGCATTTCTTCCCTAAATTCTGAGTCTGATTAAACATAATAACAAAAGGAAAAATAAACATCTATCTGTAGAAAACTAAACTCATTCAATGAGAGAGAAAAGGACTCGACCCCTTACGAGAGAGCTTTGATTCTTGCTGTAACAAATAATAGTTACTGGGATTATTAAAATTTACAATTAACCATATCTTAATCTATCTCTATCTTTGATCACAATGCAAATAATAAAAATAATATCTTGCAAATTGCAAAATTGCCTACAAAGGAATTACACGCTGGAATCACCATCAGCATATGGCCAGATCATAATTATGATAGTACAGAAACGAAGTCACATTATTAGCGTTATTATGGAGGTCCTAAATCGTGGTTGGATATCCTCATAAAATTTGCCTGAGAGAAACAAAAATCTTAGTTAAAGACTGTAAAGAATACAACATCGTCTTTGCACCTGAAACTAATTGTAAGTAATTTCTTGGTTTCTTTTTTTATTTAACATCCTTATATATGAAGAAATAAAATGATTAGATGGTTTTGTGTTTAATTAAGTTTTAGTTGCGCTATAATCTCCTCCCACCTGACTGTAAGGTTGCGCGCTGCAGTTTTATAGCAACTGTTGCCCAGTGAGGCAGCGCCATAGTCACCGTAGTCCTGGCGACTGTAACCCACCAACAACAACCTCTCTCTCCATCATTACCACCTCCTCCACCATCCTCATCTTCATCAACTAGTCCACAGCTCAGGTTTGCTTAAACTCTTTACTATTTTTAGCCAACGCACAGTTCTCTTCTGGCGTCACGTTGTAGTTTGTTTGGTTCTTTTGAAGAAAATATTATCGCTCGGGTTTATGTTTGTCTGCTGATGAATGAAGGCTCGATGAATCGCTGGGGTAGTTTGCTAGCGAGGGTGTTTCTTTGTAACGTGTTAGCCTGCTTGCTAACGTTGCCTGTAATGCCCACTGCTGTGAGAGGTCCTGTTCGCTACCGGGAGCTAGCTACGGCCTCTTACTGCGTTGTGTGAGGCTAAAACTGGCCGAAACGCGTCCAGCTGGACTGGAAATTGTGTTTTCTGCGTAACTTATTTGTTTAAACTTGTCATGCTGAATGGTAGCGTAGGTCTTGGCTAGTCAGTGATGCTAACTGGTCAGCTGGAGCAGGAGCAGGTGTCTGTTGCTAACGCCAGCGATGCCTTCTGACAATGCCTGTTGGTATCTCTCTCTCTCTTTTTTCTTTTTTTTTTTTTTGGGAGAGGGTAACGTTATGGGGATATTGCAAGTTTGTGTTTCGGGTGGTTCAGCTGTTTGCTCATACAGGATCAGTGCGTCGATTAGCAATGGAAAGTGCTGTGAGCTAGCCTTCCACACACACTTACTGCTATTGACAATAGCTAAGCCATTACTTTCCCTTTTGTCTTAGGGAGCAAGATAGCTTCGCTAGCTCTCCATCTGCCCTCTTTGTGGCATCAGATGGCAATGATAAGCTGACTGATAACGCAAGGCTAAGTTTTGCAGTGGGCAGCTTTGAGAAAAACAACACTTAACGGATTATCCTTTAAACAGCGTGATGTTTTCTTGACTCGTTTTGTTAATCTGTATTATTGATTCAGCAAATGGACCGGTAACAGTTAATACACCCCATCCTCACAATAAGAATAATGCAGAATTACTGATTCCGTGTTAAAGACAGAAATTCATTTTTGTATTTTTATTATTCATCTTTTTGTACCCTGAGTACCAAAGAATGGAAGGAGGGTTAAGTGTGTTGTTTTTATTATGGCACTCAACAGAAAGGAGGTTGTTTGGGGGTTGTTTGTTTGTGGGCATTCCAGGCTGCTTTTGAGTTGAGTAAAACTATTCTGTTTTTGTATTTCATTCACGTTTTGAACATTCCTTAATCTGATTGCAGTTTCTTATAAAAAAGTAGGTTTCTTAACGTTGCATCACAATTACTCTCGAGTCCACCTGTTCACCTGCAACCTCTGATTTCCCTTAGGCAAGAGAACAGGTGTGTGTGTGTGTGTGTGTGTGTGTGTGTGCGCGCGCACGTGCTGAGAAGGGAAAGATGGGCACATCTCCAGCATTGTGGGGACTCTTTACCATCTTCATTTATTTGTATGCATCCATCATAGAGAGGGCATCCAGAAACAATAAACAACAACTGTTGGTCATCTTTGGCTTTTTCACTGCGATTGCTTATGTATTTTGTACGAGAAACGCTTGTCTCTCACATGCAGCTGGACCTCACTGCACCAGAGTAATTCATACCACCTGTAAAATAAAAGCTAAAGCTCAAAATAATGTTCATGTATTAATCTGTTTGCATATACAACCCAAAATAGGTCATCCCTCCCACCAAATGCACACACACACAAACAGGATGTTGGAGACTGCTAGTTATAAGATCATGTTACCACTTACCTGTAGTCCACTAGGGCAGAAATAGTACCATGCCACCTGCTGCCTGGATCCTGTTGCATTTCCAATCACTTAAAGAGGGGCTGATTAATTCAATTATTCAGTCAGCCATTTTCATCACTCGGCAGCACGTTTGTTTTGTTATTTGCCACAGCTTTTCAATAGTAATGTAAAAAGGGGGACATGTAAAAGATTATAAAGGATGCATTTAGATTTTAGATGACCATAGTTATCAGCACTTAATTTTCCAGCTATGCGTTTTTGGGCATATCAGTGTTTTAATGTTTAATGCTTGCCTTTTATTTATGCAGGTTTTTCTCATCAAAATCAGAATCGGCAGTCCTTACAAGCAACTCCTGCTTTACGATCTTAGAACACAGCTCCTAAACAAACGTGGTACTTTGCATACCCCCTACCCCCTCCCTTTTCAGCTCCCAATTACATCTCACAGGTGCTGTATGAGCGGTGATCGTGGTGCTGTGTTTGTGTGTGAGAGAGAAAGAGCGATAGAAAGCGAGACTTTGAGTGTGGTGTACTTTTCAAGCTTGTTCACCTGTTCTTATGTCTTGGCTTAGTGCATAAGAACTCCAACTTTGTCATACATAATCATTAGAGAGGCAAATTATAGTTCTTTGTGTTTTCTGGTAGCTGTGACTGTGAACCTTTCCTGCTTTACTATTTGTTGCCTGTGGCATTAGCGGGAGAAACTGAGGAGGGGAAAAAAAACTCTGAGCAAAATGTTGCACTCCTTGGTGGCTTTTGTTCCTCTGAGTCTTTGTAGGGCTTGCACTTGCTCAGTGGAGCACAGCATTTAAGTGGGCCACAAGGGAGTGCCTGAATGGTGTGGCAGGAGGTGTGTGTGCGTGTGTGTGTGTGTGTGTGTGTGTGTGTGTGTGTCTTTATGGAGGGGTCTGAGGTGAGGCAGCAAGAGTGTGCTGCAGTGCAGGGTCTATTTTCCTACGATTAGGTGGGATCAGTTGTACTTGAGATTTCCACCTGCATTGTGGAATATAACCCTACGTCCTCTCTCAAAGTTGTTCCTTTCTCAGCATTCATATGCAGATGGTTGACAGATTAAAGGAAAAACCTAAACCCTTGACCCTTGTTATGCTGTGGGGGACATTCTGCTGATGCGGTTTGGGTCCACTTGCCCCCTTAGATGGAAAGGTCACTACAAATCAATACAAAGTTATTCCAAGTGGTCACCTTTATCTTATGATGAAACATTTCTATTTTGAAGGGAGTGGTGTTTTCCAATATCAGACTCCCCTTTGCACAAGGGCAAACAAGTTTACCAAATAGATCAGCGGGTATGAAAACAATGTGAATTATTAACTGCGGCTTGCCATAACCAGATCATTTGAACATCTATCGTAGATTTCTGATGGACAGTGTTAGACAGTCTGTGCCACCATGACCAAAACAGCAAATGAGGGAAGAATGCCAGTCCTAGAGATACAGAGTCTTGCAAGAATAAAATCAAGACACAATGAAGCTGTGTGAGGAAATGGTGGCTAAACACCTGTGATAGACACCATCATGGTTTTTCCTATGAACTAAAAGCTGAAGTTTGTGAGGTGTGGCACTTTAATAGGGTTGGTAGCTTGGATTCACCGGCTTTTAAACCAAGTTACTGGTTTGTTGTAGCATGCATGTAAAGGTTTAATCCTGTTGTTAGAATGTCAGCGTATTGTCCTAACTTTCAGTGTCTTAAGGAGATTTTCCTTTTGCCCTGCTATTTCTTTCATTTTCATTGCACCTACTACTGATGACTCTACCCGGTTGTTTTCATTTGAGGTTAGTCACCTCAACAAGAATCAAGTGATAATTTTTGTCTAAAGAGAGGAGCCAGTGTCAGGTGAAGGGACAGATCGAGCTGTCCCTGCAGAGATTTGAAGCTGTTGGGAGACCCAGCTTAATTAACCAAGAGAGGCTTGTTCATGGAAACTGTGGTGGGAAGGAGGTGGCCTTTCCCTAGAAAGGAAAGGAATGGAGGCGAGCGTAGCCATACTATTATTAACTCACAAACACAGGTTCACCATCAGGTTTCTTCTCCCTATTGTCCTTAATTTCACAAAGTCTGTCTTAGTAGGTATATAAATGCAGTCTTAAATTTAAGATGTAGAATATAGATGTACAATATAGGTCTTTGGTTAGTACTAAACCCATCTGGTAAAGACCTATAATGAGGTATTTTGTTCATGGCAGTTTTTTTGTTTTGTTTTGGGGGGTTTTGTTAATACTATTTCATGCAAGTCTTAAGTAATATAAACCTGTGAAAGTAGTGCCTGTTAGAGAAATGAGAAGCAGCATCTGTTTGGAGTTTGTTAAATATTAACTTGGTTTATGGCTGTGAACATGGAGACAGGATCATGCGTCACTGAAGCATGAGGCTCTCGGCACACTGAGTACCAGAGGGCAGAAACAGGTGTTTCCGTAGGATTGGTCTAGAGCTGTTTTATTAGCATTGATTTCAGTAAAACATACAAAGCTCTGTGATGGTACCTAAGGTTTCCTACATTTTGTCCTGGCCTAACCAAATCATGTGGATTGGGTGGTGCATCAAAACTATTTGCCTATTAGAACTGGTGTTCATTGATCTTTGATAGCACACTAGCATTAGCTGTGTGCTACACTGATAATTACAAGTAATATAAACCCCCTATTTAGCTGTGAATAGACTATTACATTTTTTGTTTTTTCGGGGTGGGCAGAGGCATGATGAACACTAAGGTACATTACCTTTTCTTTTAACAACAATCTATACATGTTTGGTAACTGAAAAGTCAGACGTTAAATTTGAGGAGCAAGCAAAACAGGTATTCCATTCCTGATGTAGGCTTTTCTAGCTACTCAAACAGTTTGGGGCCTTATTTGTCATATTTTGCTTTCGTAATGGTCCAGATGATAGAGTACCAGGTCCAGACTACAGACAGGCCAGTTTAGCAGATTTGAACTCATAACCATGCTATTATGATGCACAATGTGGTTAGGCAGGAAATAAACCCTTTTCTATAAAAAGATTCCCCAAATCGCAACATATTTTCCCCTCAAAGTTATATATATCACTCAGCATTAATGTGTATTCCATAGATGTGCATTACACTGCCATATTGGTATGCTTGGCTTTTGAACTGTTTGCATTTAAAAAGCTGAATGGTCTGGGTTTTTTTTTTCTTTTCTTGTTTTTCACTCCAGAGGTGTTTGCTGTTTCCAAAAATCATTTTCCCTGGTCAAACCTCAGGACAGTCTTTCCACTTTACCTCAATCCGTCCTCCCATACAGAAAACACTATGATTATACAGGGTCTCTTGTTTGTTTGTTTGTTTGTTTTGTTCTTTTTTAAATTTTGGTTTTCTCTTTTTTTTAAACACATCAACAAACTGTGTCCAAGGATATTAATTTTACAAGTTTTCATGAGTCCATGATTTCATTTCCTCAACTGAGCTGTGCCTGTCCTCAATGCAGTACTCCACAAGGCCTTGAAGGTCTTGTCTGTTCAGCCTTATATCACAGATGATGAAACTCCCCCCAGTTTCTTTGTACTTTTACATTGATGAGCTTTAACCTGTACCTATTTGTCCATAAAAGTCTTTCACGCTCAAGGATTCCTCTATGCTGCTGGTGAAGTGACACAATTCACCAGGTTTTATCTTTACATAACTTACCAAGTCTCTTGTTGCTCTGGTCGCAACTTTTTCTAAATGTGTTGCTGGTGCCAAATTCAAAATTTGCACGCATTTTTGAGCACATTTTCTTATGTTCAGCACTATATTCGATTAAATACATTATAATTAACACGATATTGTCCTGTGTTAATTTTAAACTTCTGATAAACTGGTCTGTAAAAAGCTGCTTTACCGGTTTGACTATCAGGTCTACAATGATTTTGTGTTTTCCCTTTCTTATTTAGGCGCCATGCAGACCCCTGAAGCAGGCGCTGACTCCACCTCCACTGTCCCTCTTCAGACCACTGTGCCTGTCCAGCCTACTGGCTCCACCCAGCAGGTCCCCGTCCAGCAGCAGGTACGTCCAGCCTGCCTGGTGCCAGTGCACATGAAATGGATGTTTGTATTACTTAGTTCAATATAGAAGTGTAGTAAACAAGTTGATTAATTAATAACCTTTGCGATTTATCTTTCCAGGCCCAGACTGTTCAACAGGTTCAGCATGTTTACCCAGCACAGGTGCAGTATGTCGAGGAAAACAGTGGCGTCTTCACCAATGGCACCATGTGAGTCACTTAGCCAGACTGCTCATACACCACTCCACAGATATTAACGTAAAATCTCTGAAGCCTATTCTTTCTGCTCCCCGGTCTCTTCACACTATCATTCATGTCACAAGCACATGATGTTGGTGGGAGTACATGGTTGTTTTTGTGTTAGATTTCTTTTCTTTGTGGTGTGGAGACCTGTGTTTGATGGTGCTTAGTCACCTGAAAATGACCTAAAGTAGTCTTTTCTTTTAAATGGTGAGGCTTTCCAAGAGTCTCTTGAGTCTAGGGAATAGAGTTAGATGCACACTCAATAACAAGCCCAAGCCGATATGTGACACAAACAAAATGCAGAAGTACGGCTATGCCGTGTTATATCAGCTGCGATAATACAGGATATAAAAGTGTCTTATCATGACATCGTCGCTGTAGCAACTACATGCTTTAATGTTCCCTAGCATGTACAGCAGTGACACAAGCACAGTCATGTCATTGCGTGAGGCCCATCTCAGCGTCCGATGTCGATTTACCTCAAACACAATACTTTGCAAAATATGCAATATAAAACCTTTTCCACTCTAAGTTTAAACAAGAAACATGATTCACCGTTTGATGGAAAAATATACTGTCGAGCACAACCGGGCTGTTCCAGAGGATGTTAGCAGCTGGTCATGTGCAACCCAAAAGTAAACAAATGACTCAAGAAAGCATCAGTATCTGCACTCTTTAGTTGCACTACATGGAACAGGAAGAACAAGGTGTGGATGGACATTATTGATTCGGTTTCATGGTAGAAAAGCATGACTTTAAGCGGCTGGTTAAAAAGCTCGACCCAAGATAGAACATCCCAAATAGAAAATATTTTTCAGTTGTATAATGTGACAATCGGTGTTGAGCCTTTTTTTCCTATTTTACTTCTAATGTCCAGGGAAAATGCTGCTTAGGCTACTTTTGTGCTTACTTGACTTATGCTATGTCACTGTATATCATGCTGGTGGTTAATGTTTCAATAGAGTCACATTTCAAATTAGGTAGTGTGTAGTGCTAACCAGTGCACCACTGTCGCATTTAATTATCTTAAAAGCACAAAATCCACAATAACACCTATTTTAAATTGTCTGTAAAATAAATTTACCATGTATAAACGTTTGTAGTTTTTATATCCTTACTTTGGGCACACTGCTGATTGTTGTCATCTCTTCTAAACAGAAGAACCTACTCCTACTCAGAGCCACAGCTATACAGCCAGAACAGTGGAGGGAACTACTTTGACACACAGGGCAGCTCAGCACAGGTGTCCACTGTGGTGACGTCACATGGCATGACCAACAATGGAGGAGGGGGCACTGGAGGAATGAGCATGGGTCTGGCGGGGGGTCAGGTAATCAGCAGCAGTTCTGGGGCTTACCTCATGGACAGTGCTGGACCCCACCCTGCAACCCAGACCGCACGAGCTTCACCAGCTACTGTAAGTTGCATAGCATCGACTGTGTGGGTCCTCAGTCTACCTTTACCTCTTTGCGTTTGTGTGTTTGTTTCTTGATCTGAGTAGTGTTATGTAGTTTGTTGTGATTTGGTAACTTATAAATTTTGCCTGGTAAGATCCAGGCCAGTAATAGTTTGCTTGGAATCTTCCTATTAGCATAAATGCTGTTTGTGTCATGCTTCATCTATCTATGCACTAGTTTGATCCGAAATGTGGATCGGCCATTTCTTAATTAGAGTTCCAAATTTTAACTTTGAAGTGATGTCATGTGTGCAAAATTTTCATGTGTGCACATATTGTACCATATCATACATAGACAATTTTAGCGTGCTACTCTTCCTTCAGTGTGTGGCGTGTGCTTTATCTCTGGTCATTATGTGGTGCTGATGTATGAAATGCACTGTGTAGGCTCGGAGTTTCTGGAGTGATATAAATTCTACCGACACTATCATCTTTAATGTTATTTGAGCAATATAGGGGTTTGTTTTTATCCCTTATTTTATATGTCTACTATTTCCAATCTTTGAGGAAGAAGACAGGGAAGGGATAAGAGCTAAGAGACAGGTGCAGTAAGGAGGGGAAATTAGGGCATGCTTATGGAAAATCGTAGCCTTTTTATTTTGCTATGATGATCTGAATTCACTGTAAGAAAATATTTTGCATTTTAGAAAATATCTACTCATAAAACAACATGTGCAGTCAGGTTTCACAGGACTCTATGCAAGTCTATGAAGACCTACGTGCACCCTTATTGCTTTGCATAGGAATTAAGAGGCTAAGTAGCAGCCAGGTGCCGCTAATTATACGTTATTAATTGATCATCAGCAAGTGTGAGCACCTCTATAAAAGCAGAAGTTTGCTGGTTTGGAGCATTCAGTTGTGGGTTAACACAATGTCACAATCTTTCCAGCAATTTACCCCAAGACTGTGCAATAATCAGAGAAACTACAAAAAATAAGAAGAAGAAAATGACAGGCCTCAGTTAGCATTTTAAATGTTAAAGTTCATTACCACACAATTAGAAAAAGATTGAAGAAGTATGGTTTATTGGGAAGGGTCGCCAGGAGAAAGCCTCTTCTCTTTAAAAAGAAGAACATGGTGGCTAGTTTTCAGTTTGCAAAGTTGTATCCGAACAAACTAGAAGACTTCTTCATCACTATCTTTTGGATGGACGATACCAGAGTGGAGATGTTTGGCTATAGGGCACAGCACCACATCTGGCAAAAGCCAAACACAGCATATCACCACAATCACCTCATACCAGCTGTTAGGCACGGTGGTGGAGGGCTGAGGATTTGGGCTTGTTTTGCAGTTTGTAGTGATCACCATGAACTCCTCTGTAGACCAAAATACTCTAGAATCAAGTGTCAGGCCATCTGTCCAACAGCTAAAGCTTGTCCAAACTGAGTCATGCAACACAATGATGAGCCCAAGCCCAGCACCAGATCTATAACAGAATAGCTGAAAAAGAAAAGAATCAAGGTGTTACAGTGGCCTAGTCAAAGTCCAGCCCTCAGTCTAAATGAGATCTGGACTTTTATGCAAGAGAGCTGTGCATAACTAAATATCTGCAAACCAGAAAGAACTAAACCAACGCTGTACAGAAGAGTGTGCCAAAATTCTTCCATAACATTGAGAGACACTGATAGTCATACTGAAAAGCTGTTGCTGCTAAAAATGTTTCTACAAGGTGTTGAATCACTGGGTCTACTTACTCTTTTGCTGGACTTTTATGTACACTTCATCTAAATTATTAGCTTTCAAACAGTCTTTTAAGAGTCTTATTTCCAACTACTGCATATCTCACTTTGGAAGTAAATGTTCTTGCACTACAATGACCTGCTGAGAACTAAGAGCCAGGCGTACATACTATGCAATCAGCCTCACTTGAGCTAAGTATTTGGTTTTTACTTAAATTTATACTATTGGAATCACGCTGAGACACACCACATATTTACCAGAAGAGCACTAAATAGTTTTGAACTGAGAATGGTTAACTTTATGCCTCGTGTTCATGCCTCCTCTCCCCCCCCTGTAAAATAAGAGCCAGTCTGGTATTACAGAGTCATTGTCATCTCGAAAGGTTTTCCTGAATGACAGGTTGTCCTGCTCTGCTTGGGTTTAGCGGTGCTTGCTTTGGAGTCTTTTCTAGATTGCCTTTTTTTATTTTCGCTTGTGGCCTATTCATGTGTGTACATCAACTCTTTATTTTTCTTGCTTTTGTTTTCATTTTCCCCTCTTACATTTTGTTGTCCTGTGCTTCGTGGTTTATCAGATTGAAATGGCGATTGAGACTCTCCAAAAATCGGAGGGTTTATCCAGTCAGAGAAGCTCGCTGCTCAACAGCCATGTAAGTTGCTTTTATGAACGCTCGCCCACGTCTAACCTTAACTTTTGCTAAACTCGCTCTCTTGCTGCCTCTCTCCAGTCTCTGTACATTTAAGTTCAGTGTGGTGCCTGCTATTTTTGTTGCTGGTTTTAATTATTACCGCTTTAAATTTTCTGGCTGCTATAGAAGCTTTTGCAGAGCAGTGATGGAGCAGTATTATATTTACTAACTGTTGGCCTAAGGTTTTTGTAAGGAGCAACATGGGAGTCTGTTAAGTTAAAAAAGAAGATTAAAAAAATGTCATCAAAAACAATTCTTTCTTGCTGTTGTAGCTCCAGTGGCTGTTGGACAACTACGAGACAGCAGAGGGAGTAAGTCTGCCACGATCCACTCTCTACAATCATTATCTGCGCCATTGCCAGGAGCAGAAATTGGACCCTGTAAATGCAGCTTCTTTTGGCAAACTCATCCGCTCCATCTTCATGGGTCTCCGTACAAGACGCCTCGGGACAAGGTTAGCGCCTTTTATCTTCTTCTTAAGTAAAGAAAAGCTGTTACATTAGGGATTTGACATTTTAATCTATTAGAAATATGCCCACCTCCTCACTGTGAGTCTATCAGTGTGTTTTAACTTTGGGGTTTGTGTTGCAGAGGGAACTCCAAATATCATTACTATGGTATACGTGTGAAACCAGATTCCCCACTCAACAGACTCCAAGAAGACATGCAGTACATGGCACTCAGACAGCAGCCTGTTCAGCAGAAACAGAGGTAGAGCACACACAGCCTGGACTGCAATATTAGCAAGTTATAGTTTTAGTAGGTAGGAAGCAATGTGATTTTGGTATTGGGGGTTTTTTGTTATTGTTTTTTGTTTTTTTTTAAGGTTCAAGCCAGTGCAGAAGTTTGATGGTGGCTCTGGGGAGAATTACTCAGGTGGAGGGCAGCACCATCCTGGTGCTGCAGAGCAGACAGTTATAGCACAGAGCCAGCACCACCAGCAGTTCCTAGGTCAGCGGCTTTTCTTTTTATCCAAAAGTCTGTTTAAAAAAGGAAAAAAATGAACTGACATATACAGGCTATTATGTCTTTTAGATGATTCTGTTGTGTTCACTTCCAACAGATGCGTCGCGGGCACTCCCCGACTTTGTAGAGCTGGACCTTGGACAGAGCAATACAGAGAACATCAGCCTAGATGATGTGAAAGCTCTCCAGTCCCTTTACAGAGAGCACTGTGAGGTTAGACAAAGTGCTTTTTATATTCAATACAGCGTCTCACACACACACGGCACACTGGGCACTTAAGTTGATGTCACAAAGGAAACGGGTCAGGATCCTCTTTCATGCTAAAAGATGGCTGAGTAATCCCTTTGAATGTTATCACCTTCATTGATGCGTCATCGTGTGTGTGTGTGTGTGTGTGTGTGTGTGTGTGTGTGTGTGTGTGTGTGTGATTGGCTACTCTAGTCCGTGTGTGACTATTAACCCGGGCTTAACTTAATTTCTGCAGGGCCCACATGTTTTCCACTTATTTTCTAATAAGACTGTTTTTCTCTGTCAAAGTAAGGTCAGTTTTGTTCTCTTTATCAATCATAACACCATCTTTTTTCTTAATCAAGAACTACAGTAAATGGGTTCTTACTTACATGGTGCTTTTCTACTCACTTTGAGCAGCCAAAGCACTTTCTCACTACAAGTCTCATTCACCCAATCTCAGACACATTCATACAGTGCTTTTTTTTTTTCTTTCTTTTTTTCAATCTGTGTGTAAGCGCTTTTTAAAATGTATTGTTTAATCTGACATTCACACATACACTCTGATGGATGTATCATGCCCAAGGATACTTCGACACACGGACTAGAGTAGCCAGCGATCGATCCACCAACCTTCAAATGTGTATACCTGCTCTACCATCTGAGGCACGGCCGCCCCACAAAAAGCTGCTAATACTAAAAATACAGTAAAGTACAGTTTTGTTTAATTTAAAGAAGTCTGTGAATTTAAAGTTTTGTTGGGGATTTTTGGATTGAGAGTGGGGGAACTTTCGAAAAGATCAGGTGTGACAGAGATCTGTAAATGCCAGCAGCTGACATTTTGAAACAGAACGTTCTCCTCAACTCTGATAATGACCCAAAAACTAGGGATCAAATCATCCACAAGTGTTGACCACAGCTCTAAATTTTCATTTTATCCAAATTAAAAAAGTTAAACAAAAAAAATGTCCTTACAAACCCTTGCAGATAGTTTGGTATTTTAATGTCCGTGTTAGAGGTTTCCGCTTGTTAATACAAAAGGAATGGAATTTCATTTTAGCACTAAGTGCAATGGAAAAAACTGACAATATAACAGAATTGACTGGCAATAGTTTTTAGAAGTCATTATTTTTTAAAAGAACAAATAAAGCAGTATCAGTCATGACTGTTCTCTTTTCATTTCAGGCTATCCTGGATGTGGTTGTCAACCTCCAGTTCAGTCTGATTGAGAAGCTGTGGCAGACATTCTGGCGTTATTCTCCCCCTGACACTGTAGAGGGTGCTACTGTCACAGAAAACAGGTGAGGTCAAATAAATGATATACATGCAGTATGTTGTGTCTGAAGGAGAAATATTAAAATATTTAATGTCAGAAATTAAAAAAAAAAAAAAAAAACGGGTTAATCTGTTTTTTTTGTTTTGTTGTGTTTTGTTTTTCATTTTGCAGCAGCATAAGTGAGATTGAAGCGCGGCTCCCCAAATCACAGCTATTGGTGCTGTGCAGAAACGAAACTGTACTCAAGTGGATGAGCACCTGTGACCATTTAATGTACCAGGCCCTTGTGGAGATCCTTATTCCTGATGTCCTGAGACCCATTCCCAGTGAGCCACAGTCACACATGACTCATGCTTTATTTGTTTGTTGTGTTAATGTTTATGACAGCTCAATCATTAATGCAGTATTGTCAGATTTGCCTTTCTGTATCATTTGTCAGGTGCCTTGACTCAAGCCATTCGCAATTTTGCCAAAAGCCTGGAAGGTTGGCTCACCAATGCCATGAATGCCATTCCACAGAGAATGATCCAGACCAAGGTATGTTATTGCAGATGTTTGTATTTGGCTGCATGGCTCTCAGATCACATACTTAGAAAGCATGAGTGTGTTCCTCACCCTTAAGTATGCATACATCGAAATCTAGAGACTGAGATCAACAGCAAGGAGATGGTTTGTAAAGTGGCTTGCAGATGTATAGCAATTGTATGCAGGCTAAATAAGGTGAAGTAGTTCTACCAAAGTAAGATTTGCAGTAGGATGCATTAAAGCTTATCAGGTACATAAATAAAACTTAATTGAATTATGGTGGCTGGCACTGAGCTCAAATGATTTTGTTGGATTGCGGCTGAGCATAACTTCAAGGCCTGGCTGTAATAACACTACGGTTTAATAATAGATAACATGAATACCTAGAGCAGACTAATGTGTTTACGATACGTATGCATGTGTACTTAAAAAAGATAACATCTGGGCTCTTGTTTCTTTTAACAGATTGCCGCTGTTAGTGCCTTTGCGCAAACATTGCGCAGATATACATCTCTGAACCACCTGGCTCAGGCGGCACGTGCTGTGTTGCAAAACACATCACAGATCAACCAGATGCTCAGCGATCTCAATCGTGTTGACTTTGCCAATGTACAGGTAAGAACTAAAGATCTTAACTACTGTGTCAAAGAATAGACACTTATTCGTTTTTTGTCGATTGTTTTCTGAAAATGTCCAAATAAAACCCCTGTGTGACTGTTGCATAGGAGCAGGCATCGTGGGTGTGCCAGTGTGAGGAAGGAATGGTTCAGCACTTGGAGCAGGACTTCAAGGCCACATTACAGCAGCAAAGCTCTCTGGAGCAATGGGCAGCGTGGCTAGACAATGTGGTCACTCAGGTCCTCAAGCCCTACGAGCACCGGCCCAGCTTCCCCAGGGCAGCTCGACAGTTCCTGCTAAAATGGTCCTTCTACAGGTCTGTGGTAGAGGGTGGGAAATAAGTGTATTCTGAGACACACATGAGAGTGTGCAGCATTGTTTTGAAAAGACAAAAACACTTTGGCGTTTTATATTTCTGCAGCTCGATGGTGATCAGGGACCTGACCCTACGCAGTGCTGCCAGCTTTGGTTCCTTCCACCTGATTCGACTGCTGTATGACGAATACATGTTTTACCTGGTGGAACATCGTGTGGCTCAAGCTACTGGAGAGACACCTATTGGTGTCATGGGGGAGGTAAAGATGTTACATATCTTGTTTTCTCTTTACTCTCTCTGACTTTTTAAAATTATGTTTCATAGTTAGTGCCATTGTCATACACTATATTAAATAACAACCTGTGAAATAATAGAAAACAACTAAACAGAAATTTTTTTATGATAATTGTTTGTCTTTGCAGTTTGACAGTCTCAACACCTTATCCCTTACTAACATTGACAAAGGTATGTAAAATGATAATATTCGCTACAAATATTGTGAGATTTTTTTTATGTCATTGAATTGTGATGATTTCTGCATCTTCAGTCATCTCTAAAGCTTCCTTTTAATGCATGTGTTTTCTGTTTTCTCCTGTCTAGATGAAACAAGTGGGATGGACAGTGACTTAGAAGAGGACACGGAGGAGTCCGGGGAGCCTCTTGCCAAGCGGGAGAAGTCGGAGCACGAGGTAATCCAGGTGATCCAGGTCGGGGCACTAGAAGATGGGTCCCACCCTGTGGTGGGTGTTGTCCAGCCTGGTGTACTTCACTCTTTGCCGCAGCCCCCACAGGACCACACTGAGCACATCCTTACCCCCTCTGTTGGTACTCCGACCATCCGCCACTGCAGCACCACGGGCAACACCTATGCCTCTGTTTGAGGGTCTGGGGGCACAGCCGACCTTGTCTGGCCTCTTTTTGCCCTGTTACTCTTCGCATATCTTTCTCTTTGTAAGTCTTGGTGTTTGTGTCCTTTTTCACACATTGTCTCTGTTTGCACCAGTGTGGATGTGCTCTCCTCTTCCAGCCGGGTCAGTGGAGGAGCAATGAAGTGCTGATACACTGGCCACGCTGTTCTGTCCTTGTCTTACTGCTTAGATTCTGGATGTGCTGTCATCCGTTAAGTCTGTGCTCGGCAGCTGATGGAAGGGACCTGAAGGAAAAGGACTAATTCGACCCGTTAAATGTTTCCCGTTTCTGCCTCTGTCTGTGTATGCAGATGGGTTTTATCCCGAAGACAAATTACTACTGATAACTACTGATGTCTCAGAGCTCAAATCCATGTCACTAGTCCCAGTGGAGCAAAGGCATTGATTGACTCAAGACCTTACCTATTGTACATAATAGTTTTGCTATAATTTCAATTAACATTACATAAAAAAGAAATCATGGTGCTATCATTGTGTTTTGGGTTTTGTTTCATTTTTCCTTAATTTTCTAGTTAATCCTCCTAATTTTAGTATGATTTCATGTTGTCACACATTCCAACTGCTGATACACTTTTGGTTGAACAAAAATGTTTCTGTATGTAGCTAACAAAACTGACAAAGATACAACTTTATATATGATTTTAAATTAAGGATCATGGGGCAGTTTTTTCCGTTCCCTTTGAGAATGATTTAGTAGCCACCCACCGATAGACACTTATAGCTTTTAGCCACATAAAAACTAAGAAAAAAAACCCTAAAGAGATGTCACTGCTGCTACTCTTGTATATAGGAAATTGAGAAGAAAGGCTGTTAAAAAGGAAAAAAAAAAAAGTCTCTAATGCTAGCTTTTCTGTGCACTCTGTGCATAACGCTTGCCTTCGTTAATTTTAGATGCTCTGTAATTCTGTTTATGTGACAAGCTGTAATCTTGAAAACAACTCACCCGACACGTTCCCCTGTTTTTGCAATTTCTGTCTTAATGAAATTCCTTAAGTTTGCAGTGGACCAAAAACTAACGCGAGGAAACTGAAGAGTGAGCCAACTGGGGCCGCACAGAAGTTGTTTCCTGTCCAACAGTGCCATGTTGCAGAGCAGAAGGAATGTCAGGGATTTAATGTACCTCGGCTTTATCATAGTGCCTTATCTTTAAATGCAGCTGCCCGTGTAGTCCTGACTGTGTGCTGTAGAGAGCCTACAGCCCTTCTGCATTGTCCAAGCCACAGATTTGGCTTTTCTGGTGACTCGTGGCTGGATTTGGGCTGGCTCATCAGTGTTGAGACCAAGGGATGCAGGCGCAGACACGCCCGTTGTTTCCTCCAGCTCAGCTCTACTTAGCCCGCTACTTATCTGAATCGTGGTCTGTAGCCTCTCCCCTGCCCTCACTCTGCCCTCTCAAGGCCTATTCTTGCATTATTAGCCTTCGTTTTTGTGTGAAGTGTGTGAACGTGCGTGTTTGTGAACATGGATGCTTATGTGTGCGCTGCGTTTTTATGTACGCATGTGTGTGTTTATGCCTGTGCGTCTGTGTGCTTGTGTGTATTTGTTGGAACACATCCATCAGTCACCCTACCTCAAACCAGTGGTGCCAGCCCTTTGACGCGTGCAGCACAGTCACCTAACCTTATTGCACACACACCACTGTACTGCACAAATCTCAACGCGACAGAGAAAGTCTGCATTGCTTTTCTCTCACCTCTGACACACGTTCCTTTCAATTTTTAGCCCGTGACATGCTTCATTCTTTGTTCCCTGTTTAAAGATCATCTTTGTACAGTGGACCAAAAGTAGATATTTTCTGATATTCAAAGAGATATAGAGAGATATATATGTATAGTATATATAATGATGATACACTACATATATTTGTTGTTGGGGTTTTTTTTGTTTTGTTTTTTTTAACGTGGTTGATCTGATTGTTTCTATGTGAATGTTTCTTATGGTAGCTCATCTGTAATTAGTTCATAGACTGTGAAATGGGAAAGGCATGGTGACTAACTTCTGATTCCTTAGACTACATCTATACTTGAACTGTTATAGCCTTCTATGTTGTGGAGAATATTGAGATTAATCCTCTAAATAGGAACATTTTGTTACTAAAATAAATCTGTTCTTATTTTTTCATGCTTATTGAAATGCTCTGTACAATTTCTCTGCAAAAATGTTTATTTATTGATATTTATTGTGATTTTTTTTGTTGTTGTTTTGTTTTGTTTTGTTTTTGTTAAATTGCTTATGCATATGTTATAATGGGTACTAATGATAACTCTTGATTATTCCGCTGAAAAAAGAGCAGACCTGTACAGAAAGGCTGGATTTTCTTTTCTTTTCTATTTTTTTTTTTTGTCATTTATGTTGATTTAAGGGTAAAAAAAATGCTGTTATCACAGCCATTCAGCGGCTATCTTTAGATGCTAGCAGTACACTGGTACTTTTTGTTTTTAGCCTTGCTTGTGTGCCTGTGTAGAAAACATGCTTAACATTAGGGAAGTGTGGGAAAGTGCAAATGTCTTTTCAGCTATTGGGTCAGTGGACTCTACTTGATGTTCAGCCTTTTGGGGATGAGGATATCTGAAAAGTAAATTCTGACATTTCCAAACCCAGCTTCCTCACCAATTAAACCTATGCTTCATCTGTAACACTAGCCGCACTTGTCCTGCTGGCTTAAGAAAAAAAAAGTCACTGATCGTATTGTAGAACTAGGCTCACATAAATCCAAGATTTTAACTGTATTGAATAGGAACAGTTTGAAAAGTCTCCAAAAAGAGCCAGGGAAACAGAGCGTCGGCCGAGACACTGCCGCCCTGACTCTCGATATTAAACTGAGTGCAACTTAAGAGAACAGAGAAAGTAATGAAAAATGTCTAATAAATGGAAAATTTATTAATCTCTGTTTATATTGTGGAAATCCTTATATAAATATGTGTTCACGTAATTGAAAAAATGAAATGCACCATTCCCACAGGCTCCTTTAATGGGGTTGTGTCTATAAAATGTTCAAATTTGTTGTAAATCTGGGTGTACTGTTAGGAATAAAGGTTTTGCAGAATACTTTTCTTCTTTGCTTGGCAATGGCATTTTTACCTTTCTCCAGCTGGATTATGTTATCATCACTCAGAGATGAAAAGTTATTTTGTGCATTCGAAGTGAAAATGGCTTAAAATGGATTTACTGGTTTTCCTTTAGGATCAAAAGTGCTTTCTGGTCTTGCACACCCTGCCATGTGCTGCTAGAAGCTTCTTATTTTTGTATCTCTCTCACTAAGTTTAGCTCTTTACCCAGTTTACTTTTGCCAGATTGAGAAAGCCAAATCAGCATCTGGCACAATCTCAAAGCCTGCCTCTTTCCCAAAAGCTGGACCAATGTTAATGCAGCCAACACTATTATACTTTATTTCTGAGTGTCTTTGAGATTGATGAAGATTGTTTTTGTAACCACTGTTTGCAAATTTCCAACTAAGACCCTGGTGAAAGCTGAGAATTGCCTCTTCAGCTGAACAATATGGCAGCTTCACTGACCCATAGCGGACTCCAGTGCCTTTAATTTCACCCCGGCCAGAGCAGTGGGCCTTGGTGACTATTGGGTCTCTGGTGGGCTACAGATAGAGGCTACAGAGCAGACATTTCCTTGCACAGGTGCTGCCACTAAGAATGCTGAGGAAGCATAAAGACGTCCTCAGACTGGACTCCTGATTATCTACTGGATTTGACACACACACACACACACACACACACAGACGCTCATGTTGCTCATGGTAGATTGCCTGCATTTTATTGTACAGAACTGGTTAATGAACCATGATAAAAACTGTAAGTAAAATGCTCTCGCATTAATTTTTTTTCTCATGATCGTGATTTGTTTTGAATATTTTCTGAATGCTGTGACCCGTTTTGAGATTTGTAATTTTCCTTTTTTTTTTTCTAAGTGCCATTTGACAGTCTAGTGAGTCGTGGCCATCTGTAGCACCCTCTAATGCAAGCACAAGCATTTGGGAGTGGCGTTTAGGGAAGGTTTCTATTTGGCTTCACCCTAGACAAAAGTGTGTATATATCAAAAACAGAAAAGGTATATTTATTTGTGTCTTAACTATTTCATTTGTTCTTTTGGTGAACATTTTATCTGATATGTTGGCTCAAAGTGCTTCTGTGATTACTTTTTCCCCCTTCTTTTTTTGGATAATGTATAGTATCTGATATAATATATACACACAAACTTCATGTGACTTTCCTTTTGTGTGCTGTTAAGTTTTCTTCATATAATGTATATTTTTCAAAATTGGCAAAGCAAACCAACGTGTGTAGGAGGATTTGTATCGTGTATTTTGCATAAAAAAAGCAAAAAAAAAAAAAGATGATTCGGGGGCTTTTATATTTACGACATTATCATTTAGTGTGTCGTATTGATGATCATAGAAACTATTAAAGACACATGTAGTTTGTTTTTCTGAATATTTCAGATCTCAGCTCAGGCTAGCTTTAGTGTTGTTTTTCTTAAAATTTGTGACTTGTCTTTGCAGTAATAAACGTTTTCTTGTTCAAAGCCGGCGTCCTTTTTAACAAGCTTGATCCACTCACCGAGCGATGCCCATTAAATTTTATTCAACCATATGCATACATATAAACATCAATAGCATTCGAACTCTGTATGTATTCAGATTGTATGGCAGAATTGTAAAGAAAAGCATGAAGTTGCATTTCTTGAAAATTGTACAGCATTTTTTTTTTTTTTATCGTTTTTTAGAACGGGTGGTTCATCACTGTAAAAGTAGCAAAAAGAGTATAAAATACTGCAACAGCTGTAGGTAAACAGAGCTCCAGATAACAAAAATATTGTTTGATCAATAATGCTGAACAAAACTAGAATGGTTCTGATAATTTAAACAGAGCTTGTACAAGCGACATAATACTGAAATGACTACGGTCCAATAACCTTTTCGCTTTTTTTGGCATCAATATGGCTTACACTTCCTCTCACAGTTCACCCCTCAGTTACTCAGCTAGAATACGTTAAAATAAAAATGGGTAATTGTGAGCCATCTTAAAGAAATACTCCACCTAAAGTGTCTCTAAAGCATTGAAGTCAGCCAAATACACCAGTCAAACCTGCTGCAGGTGAGGGTTTGAAAGTAAAAACAGATTTTGGGCAGATAGCACATAAACCGCAAGTAGTTTGAAATGAAAACCCTTCAGCTATGCTAACAGATTATATGATTACAACAAGTAACCACAAATGAGACTATGAAGAAGACAAATTAATAAAGTGCTAAAAGACACTAAGCTAGTAAAAGAAATACAGTAACATATCAACACAGGCGTGAGATTTTTATTTTTACTATTTCCTAATTTCAATGAAAATTTGGCTTGGAAAATTTTCAGTCCAAGCCATTACTTTCTCAGGGTTAGAACAGCCTTGACTGGTTGTTTAAAAAAGGAAAGTTTTATGGCGTTGAAAGGGAAACCGATTTCATCT